GAGAAGGGGTGTGGAGGGAGGGGGATATTCACTGGTGGAGTCTCTCTCTCTCTCTCTCTCTCTCTCTCTCTCTCTCTCTCTCTCTCTCTCCCTCTCTCTCTCTCTCTCTCTCTCTCACTGTCTTTCCTACAAGTCTTTGTCCATAAGTTATGCATCTCTGCCTGTCTATCTGTCTGTGTCTATTTCTCCGCTCCCTCCTCCCCCAACCCCCCACCCCCCCTCCTAAAAAAATAACTAACTTTAGCCGTATGTAACCTCTCCCTGAAGGTCTCCGGACCCGGCCAGCTGTACAGAAATACTCAGCTCATAACATTGAATGATCTCCTCAATCTGTGGTATCAGTTGCATGAGTTCGAGAAATTGTTTGTCAAAATTCAAATTCTAAATTTTAAAAAAGTAAGGCAAGGGACATCACATAGTGCAATTATTGAACTAATGACGGTTTGTGTTTTTCTCTCTTGTCAAAAGATTTATTTTCAGGGCTTGGAACATTTGAACAGCTTGCAAACAATGAGCAAAAACTTACAAACAGTTTTTATGACAACAGAGGTTTTTTCTTTTTCATAGTATCCCAAGCTTTGGTCAGCCTCACACTTGCACGTTTGGTCATGTGTGTAACTGGTCATTGTGAGGTAAGCCGAAACCTGGGATCCCTCCTGTGTTTTAGGGTTGATGCCTGGACAGATCAGTGTCACTCTAGATACAGGGGGGTTTCCACCGGTGACGTCACAGCGGACTGAATATGTCTGTCCCGCGAGTAGTTGAACGAAATTGTCGGCGCTGTCTCCAGAGAAAGTTTGCCTTCCTAGTGTCAGGACGGGGGCAGCAGGGGGCGGGACTGTTGATGAAATATGAGGTGAGCTGACAAAATGAGTTACTTCTCCGATTTTAGCCTTATGAAAATTGATACATCAACTTTATAGGCGGATTTTGTACAATTTGTAATGAAAAAATATAAAAATAAATAATAAAAGACAAGGTAGACTTGAACAAAATGGCATCAATTAGAAATCTATAAATCTGAGCGCAGCGTCAATTCTTGACCGATGTCTCCATTCTTGGACAGGGAGGAGTTATTCATTTTGTCAGCACGCCTCACAAAACTTAATATGATAGAAATATATCATTTGTTTTAAATGCATTCTGTTTGTCGCATTTTGTTTAGTTTCTGTTGATGTGGTGGATGTTGGTGCCACTCTAATTGTTGTTGTTGTTGTTGGTGGTGGTGTTGTTGTTGTTGTGGTTGTTGTTGTTGTTGTTGTTGTTTCTGCTGTTGCTGTCGTTGTTGTTATTATTATTGTTGTTGTTCTTTAAATTTGCCTGACGTTCCTTAAA